AGAACATTCGTTGTAAACACTTGACGTAATCAAACAAATTAATACTAAATATAGATTTAAGAGAGACCGGCTGAAGACAAACGCAGACACACTTTGTTCCTGGCGAGTAAAGCTCCGCAGAATAAACCTGCTGGGAAGGAAGATGCACTCTTCAAACCGTCTGTCCTTTCCACTCGCAGGATCAATGTCCAGTGAGTTACCCCCTCAACACAAGGGCACTGACTTTGTTCTGTGTCAACAGTTGTGTATTCCATTAAAATTAAATGTCGTAGTGACAAATGAAAATGTTGAAAACACTTTTTAATTGAACCCCCCAGATTAAGAGCTAATGAGAACGTGAATGATGAACCAATACAGTAGAAAAACAGACTCTGGAAGTATAAACTTGCAAATGCCATATTTTAAACAACAAAAAAAGAAGAAAAAAAGCCAAAGGTTTGTTTTCATCAGTCAGGCTACTGAAGTCAGACAGAATTTACCTTGAGCCACTGTGAAAAATACGTTACTTCACTAACCCCATAATCTACAGTAGCTGTGTAGAGCGCCTCCTAACAGGTCTCATCCAGATTTGAAATTGGACATAAGGTTTAACATATAAAACACTGATTTTGGTGTGAGAAATTACAAACAACATTTTAAGGCCTCACAGCATCAGAGTCCCATTTCCCCACCGAGATGACATTGCACATTTTAAGGTTCTCCCTTTGGTTTCTAACTTTAGAGGAGAGTGCAGCATGTTCACAAATATTCACCAACCTGTTCTGGGGCACAGGAATAAGAAATGTCAATTCATAAAACCCCCATAAAAAAAACCCAACCGGTTGCGGCAGATGTGGGAGCTGTTTGGGTTTCTCTCTATAATAAAGCTTTCTTGTCTGCACACAGGTGTTAGGGGGAAGTAGTGCTTCATATTTGTGACTAAAGCGGGAGCAGAGTTCTTTTGTATACTCGAGTCTGAGGTGAAGCATGTTGAAGATGCAGGTTCATTCCAGGCTGTATTGTGGAATGCACTTCCTCAACAGCAAAACTGCGGGTGGCATGGGAATTGTTGCATTCAGGAAGCATCCTCTTGTTTCACCCCTCCACCCCTGATACTTGTTTCAGAGCCAGAGAATCCAGTTTGAGCTGTTGTCTTGAGCTGACGAGGATCTCAGAACAGACTTTGCTGGAGCACCTGCCAGAAACATGTCCCACAGTGAGTAATGCTTTTCTGCACATTGATATCAATATCGTCATACTTTTCCAATGCTATGAACCACTTAATAATTCTGTAACTTCACTTTAACTGCTTCAAGCTCTGGAATGTAACATGTACAATTGGGTTGGCTGCACATTATTATAAAATATGAACTGTTCCAAATCTATTGATCTAATTATTATTTGGTTTGTGCATTTAAAAAAAGTAATTGACAAGTCCTGACTGTGTGGTTTGGCAGACGGCGTAACTACCACGAGGCACATGGTGGCGGTCATAGCAACGGTGGAAGAATGGTCCTCTCTGAAATCTCTGCTGCGGGACAGCGCTGGAGATAAGGACCACCGGTCAACCTTCAGTTCTCTGGGATCAAACCAAGTCTGTGACCTCACAGTGCATGGTCACTTCATCAGCTTGCACTATGCAGATTTAAAACAAGACATGACAGAAGAGGCCATCAGCAATGCAATAGATGGCTGCTTTATGTCTTGCACAGATGGAGTCAGCATATTCCTGCTGCTGATCCAAGGTGGTCATTATACAAAGAGGGAAAGAAGACTGATAGAGATCCTGCAGGCACAATTTGGAGCTGAGGCTCTAAAATATCTTGTAATTCTCTCTCTGGAAGACGGAAAGGTGGTCGACGCACTGGATGATGCCCTCATGGAGTTAATAAACGTGTGTGATGGAAGATACTGCCGCATCACATCATCTGCCGCAGGACACAAGATGCGCGCGCTGCTTGAGATGATCGACTACACGCTCGCTGAGAATGGAGTGAGCGGTTACACCGACACCATGCTGGCCGAAGCGAGGAAAAGGAGCACGGAGGACTCGGCCATGATGATGCTGAAACAGAAGGTGCGAGAGGCAGAGGAGAAGGAGCAGGCCTTCGGGCAGCTGGTTCAACAGCAAGAGGAGAGAAGAGCCAGAGAAATGGAGGCGCTCAGGTTGAAGCACGCTGAGGAGAGAAAGAAGGAGCTGGCTGAAAGAAAGCAATATGAGACAAAAAGAGAGGGTCTTGAGGAGGCTGTGATGAGCCATAGAGCCATGCTGCAGCTCCAGATAACTGCCACTGAAGGTAAGACTTATTTTTCATTTTAAATTTGTCAAGATGAAAAGCTCAAACCCGTCTCTTTCCTGCACATCTGAACAGACATGTAGTGGGTTGGAACCATGTGATTTTTTATCTCATGTGAGACCTTTTGCCATTTTTTCCACTTTCAGAACATTTCTCACAAACATGAAAGTTCTGCTGCAACTTTTGCTGAACTGCATTGTCAGACATTGTGATGCTGCAGGCTTCTCCCACTAGGGGGAGACACAGTTACACATTGACATGGGGTTTCATCATGACTTGTAACATCAAATATTCAGTTTTACATGTGTATTAAAAGAGGAGATGGTCAGCAAATGACCCATTACAGGTTACTGAACTGCTTTAGAGAGAGCCAGATATGGATATTGCTTATAATTTAGTGCTGTTTAACTGTTTCCTTTTCTTTTTTTTTTGGCTTTCAGATGATGAGACAAAGAAGATGTCTGTCATCCTGTTGGGTCTCTCTGGCAGCGGGAAGACTTCTGCAAAAAATCTAATTCTAGAGAGAGCATATAACCAATACTCTGCTAATGAGTCCAGCCATGAAATCCCACAGTCAACCTTGACTTGTGAGAGAGAAGAGGTGTTTGCAGCAGGGAGGCGACTCATCCTGGTGGACACCCCCGAGCTGTGGGATGAAGACGGGGCAGAAAATCTGGAGCTGGTCAAGGATTGCTTGGCTTTGTCTCTCCCAGGACCACATGTGTTTTTGCTGGTGCTCCAGGTGGGACGCTTCACCCAGGGTGAGAGCGAGATGATGGGGCACCTGCAGAAGACCTTTGGACGAGAGGTCGCGGAGCACGCCATCGTTCTGTTTGTTCGCTTTGACGGTAACCAGCACAGGCCTCAGAGGATCAACGACTACGTGGCCGGAGCTCATTCAGCCCTGCAGGATTTGTTGCGAAAGTGTGGGAGTCGCTATTATGAGGTGAATGTCACAAAGTCCCAGAATGCTTTGAGCTACCCTCAAGTGAAAGATCTGCTTTCAGGGATGAACAAACTGGTTGCGTCACACGGGGAACGCTCCTGCTCAGTGAGGAGATTTTCTGTGCAGGAGCTGCAGGAGAGGAAGTCAGTGATCGAGGAGAGACAGGAGGGGGTGCTGGAAGTAAACTACTTATTGAGAGAAGCTTAATGAGGGGAGACACTATGTATGCAAAACCTGTACAACGTCATACAATCTGTGATTAAGATTTCCTCCTTGAAGCATGAAATGTTCATTTTCTGGTGATGTATTGATTCAAATATGTGGAATGAGCTGTCACTGCAGGCATTTTGAATCAGATTGAATTACAATGCAAATGTATTACTTTTAAATAAGATGCTGTCATGATTTGCTTTTGAAAGCTGGATTAATCTAAATGAGTGAATTTCACAAAATCTGCAATTTATGGGGTTTACTTCCTATATTTTTTAGACTGTATTCATATGCTTTAGACATAAATGCAAGTGACATGCAGATAATATTATATTAAATGGTGGTGTTATGGGGATTTTCCAGATTAAACGGCAGAGTGGAACATATCAGGAATAATTCGTGACATGTTTATCTGCACCGAGCAGAGAGGGGAGGAAAAGAAAAAGCACAGCTGCAGATTTGATGTACTTTTTGGACTTCCCCATGGGTACGAGGACTGATCTGACAAGTTCATGAGATGTGCTTGCTTGATATGTCGATTGCCTAACAGTCGCTTCCTCAAACAGCATTCTTCAGATGTACTCAGCTGCCAACAAACTCATGCAACTGCACAAAAGATTGATGATAAATGTGGTTTAGATTTCATTGTCGCGGTTATTGGGTAAAACTATTTCTGTTCGATCTGTGACTGAGTATGATGTAATGGCTTGTAATTTAACATTTATGATGGGTTTTGTCAATAACTGCTCATCTTTACACTCATTACAGTCTTTTATATGGTTTGATGAACCTTTTGTGTCGATCTCTTTTAATCTCCAGACATCTCTGTCATTGCACTTCGTCTGATGCTTATTGTACAAAACAACAGAAGACACACGTGACATCAGGATGTGTTAAACTGTAATTTATTGATTCTTTTATACAGTAATTTGAGGAAGGAATGTGAAATACAATATAAAATATCTTATCTGGGTGAATCTGTGTGGTATGTTATGCCATACTGGAAATCAATCTCTAGAGCCATGCATTAGTTGCAAATGACAAAGAAAAACTTGTGTTCATGTGCAGAACAATCAGTAACTATTAGTTATATTGTTTTTTTTTTTACAATTTATTATCAGCTTTCAATAATCTGTAAAGCATTTTTAATTGCATGAACCAGTATGAAAGGTGCTATAGAGTACGCAGAAAAAAAATCATATAAAGTTTGATTGATTTATTGCTGCTGTTGCTTATTTAATCGCTCTCCTCTGCTGCTGCAGTGGGCGGCGGGGCCATCGCGGTGTCAATCCACTCGGTGTAGTGGGAGATGATGGTGTAAATTCCAGGCTTTCTCAGCTGGCCACACTTCCCCCCGCCATTGGAGGTGATGCCCACCACGGTGCCATTGTAGAGCAGAGGTCCCCCAGAATCACCCTGAAAGACAAGACAGTCAGAAAAGGGTTAACAGGAAATGACAGTGTTTACACATTTGAACAAAATACAATGGTGACTCCAGTTGGGAGCAAGCAAACGAATCAGAGCGAAAGGTGACCGAGGTGAAATGACAACAGCTACACGCACTGAGGTATCACGTAACAGGGTCTGCAGCCGTGTCAGTGTCTCTGTGGGGCTGCAGAGCTTTATATTCAGTGAAAAAACTAAAACTTACATCACAAGTGTCTTCCTTCCTATATGGTTTAGCACAGGGCTTTGGGCAAACTCTGTGCGCGCAGATCATGTTGGTGGTGAACTTGTAGCTGTAGTAGTCCTCGCGACTGCACAAAACAGAGCTGAACACGTCGACCGCCACCTCTTTGAGCTTGTCAGGCCTGGACCCCAGGTCGTCAAGGGCTCCCCAGCCGGCTGATTCTACCTCTTCATCGACGGTGGGGTTCGTGCCTCCCGCTCGCAGGAATTCCACCACTCCAACAGCGTCAGACGCCACAAATGGACGATCCAACTGCAAAAACGACACGGAAGAATTTTGATGGTCTGTTGGCTTGTTCCCTAAAACATAACAACACAACAGTACACACTTTAGAAAACTGCAGGCAGTGGCACAAAATATACACTTACCTTTATTAAAGCAATGTCATTATCATAATTTGCGGGGTTAAAGTTTGGGTGATTGTAAATCTCCAAAATGTCAAAGGTTTGCTTTGTTTCTTCAGCTTCACTCAGAGAATGGACACCCAGCACTACTTTCTTTCCATTTGGCCTGTGAAAAAGCACAATAATATTATAGTATTGCATGATGATAAAACATGTTATTGTGCACATTTTCCTTTTCTATTGTATAAACATAATGATCACTGAAAATGAAGATAAAATTGTTCACAATGTACTTGACAAAAAATTACACTCGCACCCTCGAACTAAGTGAGTTTAATGAGTGAATTCATCCACAAAAACAGAACAAGTTAATGTGATAATATCGCCAAAAAAGTCCCATAAACAAAATCTGGGCTACATCAGCTCTCCTAAAGAAAACACACACATTTGTGTGTTAAATAAATAAACATATACAAATACATTGTCTTAATCTTGTAATTTCTGTTTCCCACATACATCCATCATGCATACAGGAAGGTTTCCTCACCCGTTTTGCAAACAGTGAGCTGCAGTCATCACCCACTGATCTGCGACCATGAACCCTCCACAATCATGTTTGAAACCCTCTCCTTTTGGCTTCTGGATGGAGGCCATGTAAGGTCGAGAGTGTGGCGCTGCCTCTCTGCCGCCCATTATACCCTCGCCTCAAATGATGGAAACACACAAAACAGAATGAAAAGTTCAACTTATTAAAGATATTTGAACATTTCTGCAGAATACAAAATTTTACATGTGGAAAGGTATAAAGACATATTGACCTAGCTACTGAGGAGGTTGTTGTTGTTTCATGTCAAGGAAACTTTGTTATCCAAACTATACAATCAGTAAGTACAACCACCCAAATGTTAAAAAATAGAATAATGAGCAAAGAATAAATTAGAGGGCATCTTTACAACTGTACCCGTCTGTATTTGCAGCAAAATACAACAATAACACAATAGTAAAAGTACAATAACACTTTAAACCAATGGACATAAATTAATTAGATGAAATATTAGTTAAGAAGGAAACAATGCAGGTTCAAACTCACTCTGTGAAATGAGGGCGACAACAAAAACAGCAGCAGCAGCCACGAGCACTTCTTTCCCTGACACCATGATGTTGGTTTTACCAAAACACCAGCCACTGTGCTGCTTTAAAGCCTTCCACTTGAAAGAGAGGAAACATAAATCAAGTAGATATGGTGCAAGGCACAAGTGGGAGTCTGACCGTCCTCCTCTTCCCCCGTTTCCTGGAACAAAAACACAGGAAAACATATCACATGCTCACTGACATCTTTTACTTTGATGGAGACTCTCTTCATTTGAACTTGCCTATAATTAGGGCTGTATATTTCTTGACAATCAGTGGTTTGTGCTCAGCTACTCATTTTTCACACTGATCACTTCTCCCTCACTTTGGGCTGAAGTTTAGATCAAAATCTCTTAAATTTACAGACACTTTGTTTCCAAAGTGTGTGCACTTATTGATGCCAGGAGAAATGGTGCAGGCGGTTTACTTTCACATACTTTTCTGATATCTTTAAATTACATAACACTGAGATTTGGATGAACCCCCCCTGACCTCATGCACTTAAACACAACACTCACAGGAAGGACGTTGTCTTCTTTCCTTCTTGTAAATCCACACACAGCCAACATTCAGCAAGTAAGCACATTTGACATGATTTGCTGTGACTTCAGGTTACAAAATATTCTCCCAACTATGTTCAACCCACACATTACACTGTGCAATACAAACCTACAGTACACACACAAACTTTAAAACACTCCTGCAAGACCTAAGGCCACAAACTGTACATTCACAAAACACTGTATATTGGAAGTTTTAACCTCTTGGAAGAGATTTCAAAATAAAGGTAACTGCAGAGAGACACTAATCCTATTGGAGAAAAGAATACATGTTGCATTAAATACCCATGTAAATAATCAATAAACTTATCAATAAACATCCAATCAGGTCCATCTGAATGTGCAGCAAAAAATTTTTTTGGAGGTTTGAAGTTGTGCGAAGGACAGTTGGTGGAGCTTCTGATCATTTAAATCTTTGCTCTTTAGCTCTGAAATTCATGATGTACATGAAGGTGTTGACCAACAGTCAGTCAGAAAACTTTATGTGAACTAAGTTGAATTCAAAATGACAGACCAGTCCAGTCCAGTCCAGTCCAGTCCAGTCCAGTCCAGTCCAGTCCAGTCAGTCCAGTCCAGTCAGTCCAGTCAGTCCAGTCCAGTCCAGACCAGTCCAGTCCAGTCCAGTCCAGTCAGTCCAGTCTATAGTGTGGGGGTTTAGGTAAGACAACTTATTCATTCGTAGTTTGTGAACATATTCAGTCAGGACTGGACTGACTGGACTGGACTGACTGCGACTGGACACTGGACTGGACTGGACTGGACTGGACTGGACTGGTCTGGTCTGAGTCATTTTTGAATTTCAACTTAGTTCACATAAAGTTTTCTGACTGACTGTTGGTCAACACCTTCTATGCATCATGAATTTCAGAGCTAAAGAGCAAAGATTTAAATGATCAGAAGCTCCACCAACTGTCCTTCGCACAACTTCAAACCTCCAAAACAAATTTTTGCTGCACATTCAGATAGACCTGATTGGATGTTTTTATTTGATAAGTTTATTGATTATTTACATGGGTATTTAATGCAACATGTATTCTTTTCTCAATAGGATTAGTGTCTCTCTGCAGTTACCTTTATTTTGAAATCTCTTCCAAGAGTTAAAACTTCCAATATACAGTGTTTTGTGAATGTACAGTTGTGGCCTTAGGTCTTGCAGGAGTGTTTTTAAGTTTGTGTGTGTGTACTGTAGGTTTTGTATTGCACAGTGTAATGTGTGGGTTGAACATAGTTGGGGAGAATATTTTGTAACCTGAAGTCACTGCAAATCATGTCAAATGTGCTTACTTGCTGGATGTTGGCTGTGTGTGGATTTACAAGAAGGAAAGAAGACAGACGTCCTTCCTGTGAGTGTTGTGTTTAAGTGCATGAGGTCAGGGGGGGTTCATCCAAATCTCAGTGTTTAGTAATTTAAAGATATCAGAAAAGTATGTGAAAGTAAACCGCCTGCACCATTTCTCCTGGCATCAATAAGTGCACACACTTTGGAAACAAGTGTCTGTAAATTTAAGAGATTTTGATCTAAACTTCAGCCCAAAGTGAGGGAGAAGTGATCAGGTGAAAAATGAGTAGCTGAGCACAAACCACATGATTGTCAAGAATATACAGCCTTATACATAGAGAAGTTTCAAATGAAGAGAGTCTCCATCAAAGTAAAAGATGTCAGTGAGCATGTGATATGTTTTTCTGTGTTTTTGTTCCAGGAAACGGGGGAGAAGGAGGACGGTCAGACTCCCACTTGTGCCTTGCACCATATCTACTTGATTTATGTTTCCTCTCTTTCAAGTGAAGGCTTTAAAGCAGCACAGTGGCTGGTGTTTTGGTAAAACCAACATCATGGTGGTCAGGGAAAGAAGTGCTCGTGGCTGCTGCTGCTGTTTTTGTTGTCGCCCTCATTTCACAGAGTGAGTTTGAACT